CCAGAGTACAGTTCTTGTTGATAGTAAAGCATAGAAATTTGGGTCTCATCCAGTAAGGGGGGGGCATGTGGTGTGACAGTTCTTGCCGGCTACAGAAATTCCAATTTTTGCAAGGGGAGGGAATCCCCGGGGTGCGTGAACCATTTCGCTCAAACTTTTACACCCACCCGGAGCTTCCCTCCCCTGACTATGTGAGACCCCACATGCTCATTATTTTTCTACGAATTGACTGAACTTGCCAATGATCGTTCTTTATTCGCTTCTACAGCTCTCATGCACTTTTTTCGCCCGCATGTCGGTATTGACTCATACTCATGGAATAATTTGTCTTCACTTTTTTGATGAAATCGATCTCAACATGATTCGCTCGTCAAATACAGTCGCGCGCTGGTGTTGTGACAGTGTTCGCAGTGTTCTCAGCGAATGAGAAAGCGATGTTGTCAGTCATGTGCGTCAGTCTTGATCGTATCCGCTTGAGGATCATAGCGGATTTTCTGATTAGTTGCCTCTTATGGCCTCTTCGTGCATCATTGGAAGCCTTCTCAGCCCTTAAAGGTTTCGTTTCGGGATTCCTCATGCGTGATTCTCCCTGTCATATGAATCATTCAAAGGGGAATATTGCTGCTCTCGGCTGCTTTGTGTATCCATCATTCGTCTGCTCTTATACATGTCATTGCTTCGTTGTCAAACTTTGTTTTTTGTTTTGTTTAGCGTACATTTGAACGTTGCAAAATGGAATGTTGTCCCAACTTTCTCAACTTGAGTAATTTCAGACAGAGGTTCTTCAGCTGTAACAGTCGTGACCCTATTTTGCGGTGCATTGTCTGTGATATGAGCACAGGCCTCCTTCTCTGGACAAGCATTTCCAGGTGCGTGCTAGCCATCTAATACAATATTGTGTGGAATAAGGGCGACTTGAGTTCTTGAAATTATCAGTCGGAGACAGAGCGGATGAAAATCGATTAATTGTGCTTCATTTCGGCTAACATGGCCGCCCGCGTACACGAATTTGGTTTTTGTGCCCGACGCATTTGGTACGCCCCCGTGCCTGAAATTAGAATAAATAGCTGACCTGAAATAGGGGCGTAAGGCGTCAAAGGAATTTAATATTTGGTAGTTAATTGTATGGCTTATGGCCAGATCTTTTTGTAGATTTTGCCAATGTGGAGACTTGATATGCAGAGTTCGCTGAGTGAAATTATCGTTTAGTTCCGTTCCACCTTCCATCCCTCTACTATAAGCATCTCAATTTAGATTTCTCCACATATAAGTAAATATGATTACTGCGAAGGTACATTAGGTCCGTTTTTCTGGTCACATCTATGCGCAACCCACAATGCGCATCCAAATTTTGTGTTCTGGTTAACGGACGCGCCCATGACTTGAGGGGTTATTTTTTCACTTCACCCGTTGTGTTGACTGATCAACTGGCCTTAGAACCTCACGTGAGTTCGCGTCTGGTGTGAGCACGTGAATGCTGGCTGGAAAAAGACAGCAAACAAATATCGGGCTGCTGATATCGGCTCATGGCTTCACGTCATCCTAGTATTTTAATTCAATAGAATGATTGATTGATTATATAGGACTTCTTTTTTATCAATTTTTTCGAAATCCTATGTATGCACAATTTCAGCCGGCTGAGTGTGGTGGACTTGAATCCGGTTGGAGAGTTTTGCCGAAGTCAGCACCATTGACTAGTCGTAGCATCGTTCAGAATTTGCCTTTCCACTCACTCGGACTGCGTATATCTTCAACCTCCTTGATCTACCTGTTCTAAGCCTTGTGTAAGTCAAAGCTTTTTGGAGACTGTGACGGCGGTTTTTTTTAAAGATCTACCACTTCCAATAGCAGTGTCCCTGAGATGTCGTTGAGGCGCAAACCTCGGCATTTTGACTGCTGCGTGTTTTCTAAGTTGAGCGAACAAGCTGCTAGAAAATTGAACTGATTAAGAGAAGTTGATTGTTGTGCATTCCTGAACCAACTTACGTTGTGCTTCGTACTAGCTTGGGTATGGAAATACTCTGTAGTAGCACGCGTCATGCCGTATTTTTCTATTTATGTGTAATGTTTCTGGTCGTTTCTTACGCCAAATAAGCTCGAATCTTATAAATTTGAACTGCAGATTTCTCATTTTCATGTGCTCACCTCTCTTTCTTTAAGCTACCATAGTAATGTAGGCGTATAAGCTCATCGGTACCCAAAAAGAGTAGTTGTCTAGAAGGCACAACGATGACTGTCGATGATTGATCGTATTCGCGGAATCACCGTATCATGCACAATCTTGCCGCGGTGATGTCAGGGATAAGGGTTGCGGTTGCAATTTTCTGCTCTCAATTACAAGAGTGCTAAAACCAATAATTCTGCCATCGAGAATTCAAACCGCTGCATCATTTCCGGCTATTTAAAATTATTGTGTACAACGAGTCATTAATCATGATTGTTGTATACAATAATTTTACATATTATTTATTATAATTTCACATATTATATTTTACAACCGTATCATGAATCATTAATCTCAACCAATATCATCTTCTACATGTACATATTTATTTATTCACCTCCTACCTTTACTATTGTTTATTTTTGCTCAATTTTATTATTTTATTCATGTACCCTTAATTGTCAACAATAGCTAAAAAAATAAAAACGGCATTAGTATACCGTTGTTATGGCCTACAATTGCCGGATTTATTTCAATTCATTGAGGCACTTATTGCCACCGCGTGCATGTCACATCATTAAAAGCCGCCGTGACGTACGATTTCGCAATCGACGTTGTGCAATCTTGCGTTAGCTTGCATTCTCGTCCAAGTAAGAGTAAAGCGTTGTGTTAGCTGCAACTCTCTGTCTCTGTGCGAGCTATTATAATAGATGGAGAGCGCACTTTGTATGTTTGCTTCTAACTACCAGTACTTTTTGGTTCTCATTAATTTGATCTCTTTTACTCATGCTCTAATTCAGCTTCTACTAATCAAAATGGGCACTTCGACGACTCAGAAGCGGATTACGACTTCTGGCGCCGGCGCGGCCTACTTCAAACCGGCGCCGTCTGAGATTCTGTATGGACGCATGCGCTTCCTGATCACAGATCGACCAAGTGATAGCTCAATCAATTCGTTCATAGAGGTAGTGTTTTCATGTGATTTAGTGCCGTTTTCTAAGAATACACAATCACGTGTCTACTGTTTCCGTTCTAAAAGAAGGCGGTCAATGTGACAGGTTTACACGCTTGCCTTACTCCCGTTTTATTCCCCTGTGCATGGATGGATCGCTCTTTCCTATTTGCTGAATCACCGTTGAGTGACTAGTAGAAGTCATTCGTGGAGGGATGCTAGTTTTTGACGCGTTAATTTTATTGGAAGACTGCTTCAGTGACTTTCGTTCGATGGATTTTAGGACTTCAAGGGAACTGAGAAGAGATTTGAATGTAAGCAAAAGTAAATTTGGGAGCAAAAGTAAATTTGGGGTTGCGGTCACAGTCTGATCTAATGCAGTTTGACTCGAAAAGTCCTTCAAAGTTACGACTGCTATCAGCTTTATTCCTACGTTGTTTCTTCTGGTTTTTATATAATGTATGTGTTCTTGTGTTTTATGACATAAACGTCTATGAAAAGTAATATTTACCTAGTGATCAACTAGACTAAGGCCTTAGGAAGGGTAAGGGAAACCCAAGAAAGACGAAGATCGCTCACGAAAGCGGAGGCTTTTCTGAGGCTTATTCCTACATTTTTGGGAGGATATCATGTCCGTGGTTTTGAACACTTTGAGCGCTTTGCCGCATGCTTCCCTTCCCTTTACTGGAATAGACCCTAAATTTATAGTGGCCTCTATCTGGGATGCGTAAATTCAATTTGGACCGCCAGCTCCCTTCTTTCATGTTGGTTCGAGATAGTTGCCGGGCTTTTTAACTTCAATTTTTTTCGTGGATCAGCTTTTGCATTATTCCCTTATGGTGCCTCTTAGTTCTTGAAAGTTTTCGAAACGCATTGCTAAGTGTACTTAAAGATATAAGCTTTAAAGTTGGCTCGGAGTAGTAAATGTTGTGGAGGGGCATGTGTCCGTCTAATATTTTTGCGTTTTTTTTTTAGATTTCTGAAGTGTATTTTACCGTAGCAGCTTTTCCTTCCTCATTGTTCCTCTGGGTGGATTACGTGACTACTTGAACTCTCCCCTGTGTTCTCTGCCGCGAAAGCCAGAGCGCAGAGAACGGCGCCTGGCTCGGCTCCAAAACCCAAGAAGGAAGGTGACAACCCTAGGACTAAGCCTTGGAGGGAGAAGGGACTCCGGAGTGGGTGAGCCAATTACATCCTAGGGTTGTCACCTTCCTTGTAGCAAAGCCTGGATGTGTCAGATTACAATAGCCCTGACCCGCTGTTCAAGCGAGAAAGCGCAAGTTTTTCTACTTTAAAATTTTAACCGAGAGAGCATTGAGTCGAACGCGGTTTAAAGGACTGAGTTCAAGTTGTTCGTAGACCCTCTGGGTGGTCTCTAGGGGGTTTAGGCGTTTTTTTTTGGGCCATACAATCAAAGCCATGTTCAACGCTGCTAAGAGTTGTGGGAGAGTTCTCAATTAAGGTGATATCGATGTTTTATTTTGCAAACAAGGCCGAATAGTATCCGCAAAGCCTAAATCGAGGTTCGGTGTTGAGAGAACTGAGAGCCGTGGGTGTGTGGAAGAAAGGCAGCAGGCAACGTCATGGCAATTCAGTTCAAATTTTGTGTGACCATGGTGATCTGTGTTTTGCATGTGATGCCCATACGTAGTCTGGTGTCGGAGTCCGCGGTCCGTCGCGCGAATCGCGAAAAAGGCAGGGGCCCCATTTGAACATATGGAACATGAAGCAAGTATGAACTAGTACGAAAAAATCATGAATAGTCGTTAGTCAACCATCACCATCAAGCAGAAATGGCGGCGGGATTGGAAAGCGCCTCTTAGCATTCATCGAGGCGCATATGATTTTTGTGACACGTCGCGCGAATCGCGCGAATTCTGACTCCAGCTGTACCATGCATAATAGAGAAAGCGAAAGCAGAGCTGCAAGTGGCGCGTCTTACTCGATGACTTTTCTTCACAAGACGTATGCTGTGCCCTGTTGCATAAATCATTCCGGCTTATTTTCACAAAAGATTTAAGGTCATGTCATATTTCAGTTGGCGCTCTTACTATTTAAGCTATTCTTTTTCATGGTGAGTCGCTATTAGAGTTTCTTACGATCTCATCGCGTTTCCTTCGTGATCATCAGAATGAGTGATTCCGATCGCCTGTTTGTGCACGGTTTAGAGGGAGGATGACATTCACACAGTAGCTTTAGCTCCGGGGATTGACGAAATAATAAGGTTCGTCTGAAGAAAAAGCGTAACAAACCGTTTCAATTTCGTTTAGAAAGTTCTTACCTTTCGTAATTGCACTCCTTGCCGTTTTGCTTTGTCCATCCTATCCCTGCTGTATCATATGGTGTATTGTAAAGGTTTTAAAATTATCAAAAGACGACATCTGGTTTTTTTTGTACTGGCTCGTATCCGTTGATAAGATATAATTGGTTCAGTTTGGAAGTTTTAACCACTCCCATAGTGTCACCAAAATGGAAGATCCTGTGCTTCCGCTACAACGTGGTTTAATTAAGGCGTGCAAAATCGTTCCAATCGCAAAATCTGACATCAGCCATTTCCAAGTTTGGGGGTAGGAGCCCCTGAGATGGGTGAGCCAATTTCCTCGTAAGAAAATGAATCTATGGAAGTATTATTTTTTTGCACCTTTAGTGATAAATTAAATGTGTGTCTAGTTTTGAGTGCATCAAGTGGTTGGAACCGCTATGTCCTACCTTGGTAACATACACCTGTACTCCTAGGGCAAACGTATGCTTTCACTTTTGCCTAGAATTAGCTATCGGTGCGTTGTTGTTTTTTTTATGATTCAGCGCTTTGCGATCATAATACAGTTTTCAGTGACTGAGTTGAGTGAGGTTTGGTGTATGAATTGATTGAAGAAGTAATCCAACTTATTAAGTGTGCTTTTGAAATTGATAACTTATTTTGTAATAACTTGTTATACGTGCATGTTTTTGCCTTAATTCTTCCAAGAAATTGGATTAGTGCTTCTGAGAAAGTTATTGGGTTTTCTTCTGGTCACGTCACATTTTAAGTGCTCTCAGCTTAGGAGAAACTTGCGTTATTTCCCCTCTAAGAACGGTAGGCTCCTCTATCTTGTGCGAATCCGGATTCG